AGGACGCTGAGAGGCGCGCGGTGCCGCGCCCGCGTCGGCCGCGTCGGGCGCTCCTGTGGTGCGTTCGGTCCGGGTCCCTCCTCCGACCCAAAAACCCCGGAGCATGCGGCGGAGGAGGAAGACCAGGAAGAGGAGACAGAGGAGGAGGAGGAGGAGGAGGAGGAGGAAGGAGGAGGGGAGGAGGAGGAGGAGGAAGGAGAGGCAGCAGGAGGAGGAGGGGGAGGAGGAGGAGGAGGAGGAGGAGGAGGAGGAGGAGGAGGAGGGGCAGGAAAGAGGATGAGATCGAGGAGGAGGGGGATGAGGGCGAGGATAATGGCGAAGCGTAAACCAAGGAAACGGTCGAGGAGAAAGGGGAGGAGCAGAACGAGGTCGGGGAGGAGGAGGAGGTGGAGGAGGACGAGGAGAAGGACAGGGAGGAGGAGGAGGAGGAGGAGGAGGAGGAGGAGGAGGAGATCCGTAGCCATTTTGGCTCAAGCCGCTCGCGCGGGGCGCCCCGGGGCTCAAGCCGGCTCGTCATGTGCGTCCAGGGTTGAAGTTGCTGGAGGTGGTCCGCCGGGAATGGCTGCGGGAGACCCGCGGGGCCGTGGGCCCAAGCATGTGTCTGGTGGTGAGCGCCGAGGCAAGGCCTGGGCTAGGCAGTCGGCCAGCAACCTTGCTCGCCGCCTGCGTCGGGAGCGTGCGCGCTCCGCCGACACCCTGACGGTCAGCTGTGCGGTGGACAAGGCCTTCGAGGACATCGGAGGCGGCTTGGACGGCGACATCGTGAGCGAGCTGCGGGAGCGGCTGGCTGCTCTGGGGCAGGCCCTCCTGCTTCACTGGCGGCTCGATGCAGAGCTCGGGCACCATCGTCATCGTCTCGGCGACGCACTTCGGGAGCTCGCGACCATCGTGAAGCTCCCCACCGCACTTATCACAGAGGCGAAGGCCGTCAAGGCGGCAGGCGACAAGGCTCGGCACGAACCGCTGGGCGATGGCGGCGATGGCATTCATGCTCGGAAGGCGTTTCCCGAGAATGTCGACGCGCCTGTCTTCGTCCCACAGGGCGACTTCGGGTTCGTGCAGGAGGCCGATTGGGACATCAGTTGGCGAATGTGCACGTGCGGCGCGACGTTCATCCCCGTGTACTGCGACGCTGCGGCGGCGGTGCCCGAGGCAGACGTGGACGGCGGCGCGCAGGAGCCTGAGGAGCAGCAGATCGGCGCCATCGAAGCCGCCGTGGCCGCCGTCGGGCAGGGCGACGGTGGGCTGGCGACGCCGCTCGAGAGACCCGAGTTCGGGGTCCCCCCCCCGATTTGGCGTATGCTGAGGGTGGGGCTAGCGTCACGGAAGCGGAGGTGGCGATTGTCCAGCAGATGCATGCCCAGACCGTCGGGGCCCTCAACGCCAAGAGGACGAGGAAGTGGAGCAGACTTCATCCCCAGCCGTTCAAGCGGAAGCTGGCCAGGCTGGGGCGTCAAGGAGGGCCCGCGACGGAGGAGACAAACAATGATACGTCCTGCAAGCAGCAGTGACGGTTTGTGTACATCGTGCCAGCCGTGCCGTGTCCGTCATCTCCTCGGCCGTGGTGCTCGTGTCTGGCATGGAGTTGCACTTCGTGGGCCCCGTCGTTGCGCTCGTCGTGGTCTTCTTCTGATCCGCTTTCGGTGCGTGCCTTGCATTGCGGGACACGGATTCAGAGACTCCAGAGGCTCCAGAAAAGGAGGAGGAGGAGGCGGAGGAGGAGGAGGAGGAGGAGGAGGACCAGCAGGAAGAGGAGAGACCGAGGTCCCTCTCCCAGCTCGTGTGGAGCCTGGGCAAGTTTCGGCAGCGCCAGCACCGGACGTCGCCGCTGCCAGAACACGGCATCGAGGACCGTTGGTTCCTCATTGGTTCCCATTCGCGCTTTTCTCCCTTCCTTTCTTTCTTGTTTTGTATCAGGGGGACCAGTCAAGACAACAACGGCGGCCTTCCCTTCCGCGATGCTCGACCTTTGGGGGCCTCCTGGAGGTTTCTTGCCGCCACGGCTGGACCGCCTCGAAATCCTGGGAGGAGTCTGGGGATTAATTTTGAACGGATTTGGGCCAGGCGTGAGAGCCACAGTTATCTCAGCTTGCCATCTTCTGATTCCACTTTTCTCTTGTATGCCAATCGTGTCGTATACGATCTTCTTTATATTATCGTTCATGCTCTTCTCTTCTGTCATCTTGCACCATTTCGTATTATCGCCTTGCCTCGTCTTTTATGTTCTCCTCTCTTCCCTTCTCTTATCATTTCTTCTCTTCTCTTCTCTTCTATTCTCTTCTCTGCTCTTTTCCCATTGTATCATCTCTTATCTTCTCTTAAATTGTACTATATGTTCGTATAGTAAATGTTCATTTCTTGTCCTGTCTTCTCGTCTTCCTCCTCTCTTATCAAACCGTTTATTGTATTGTATCATCTTCTCTTCTCGCCTCTTCTCTTTTCGTGTATAATAACATCTTGCATAATCCTCTCGTCTTGTCTTTTCCCCTCTCGTATGTTGCAGTTTCGTATCGTGTCTTCTCTTTTCTGACCCCGATTCTCTTTTCTTCGCTTCTCTTCTCTTATCTTCTCTTCTCCTCTCCCCTCTTCTCTTCTCATCCACTATCTTCTCTTAGTTTCTCTAGTTTCTTCTCTTGTCTTGTCTTCTCTTCTCTTCTCTTTTTTTCTCTTCTCTCAGATTCTCTTCTCTTCTCGCCTCGTCTCGTATCGTTTTGCCTTTTTCTCTTCTCTTCTCTTATCTTCTCTTCGTCTCGTCTCGTCTCGTGTCGTCTCTTCTCTTCTCTTCTCTTCTCTTCTCTTCTCTTCTCTTCCCCTCTTTTATCGTCTCGTCTCTTCTCTTCTCTTATCGTCTCGTGTCGTGTCGTCTCTTCTCTTTTCTTCTTTTCTATTATCTTCCGTTCCCTTCCCTTCCCTTCCCTTCTCTGCTCGTCTCGTCTCGTCTCTTCTCCTCTCTTCTCTTATCCGGAAGGGCTTCGCCCCCTGCTGCCGATCACCTCTAGATCCGAATGGGAGATGTCAGAATCGCGTCGGTGCGTCTCGGCGCTGCCTTGGCGCATCTGGGAACACCATGCGGGCGCGGATAGGAAACATCAGCGCATATTGAGACGTTGGCGTTATCGAAGGCGCCTACGGCGAATCACCGCTGCCCCTTGCTTTCTGGAATCGCTCATGCGGCCGAGCATTGTGGCAAGAGCTCTGCCAAGCTATCGGGCCATGTGTTCCCCCAACCGTTGTGGGAACCCTTCGGGGAACACTTGGGGGAGGACGGCGGGGAAGATCAGGAGGTGGGGGAGGTGGAGGAGGAGGAGGAGGAGGAGGAGGAGGAGGAGGGGGAGGAGGAGGGAGGGAGGAAGACGAGGAGGAGGAAGAGGCGGAGGAGGAGAAGGAGGAGGAGGAGGAGGAGGAGGAGGAGGAGGAGCAATCTTGGGAGCCTCTGGGGGCACTCTTGGGGCCTCCCTGGTGTTTCCTGGGAGCTTTTTTGAAGTATATTGTGGACCTCCTTGGGCTTCTTGGGGGCCTTTCGGGGGCTTCTTGAATTTTGCTTGTGGGAAGACGAGATATTGTGGGAGCCTTTTGAATTTTTCTTTGCCTCTCCTCGAACTTTGTAAGGATTACGTGAGGGGGGTGCTTTTGGGCCGTCGTGAAGTCATCGTGGAGGTCGTTGGAGCCATCCTGGCGTGATTTTCAGGGCCTCTTGGGCCGTCTTGGCCCGCCGGTGGGGCGAACAGAGGCGAAGCCCCACATCCATGAAAGATCGTTGGGACACCTACGATCTTGGGCTTTTGAATCCCTGCTGGGAACTTCTTGGATCTTGGGGGCCTGCCTCTTGGGGGTCTCCTATGGCTCTTTTGTAAGCCTTTGGGGGCCTCTGGAGGGCCTCTTTGGCAGTCTTAGGAGCCTTTCGGAGCTTCTTCAGGGCCTCTTTGACCGTCTCAGGGCGTTCCTGGCCCGCCTGACGCCGTCGGAAGCCGTCTTGGGGGTTTCTCTGGGCCGTCTTGGAACCCTCTCGGGGCGCTTGATGGCCGTCTTGGAGACCATCTTGGGCGTCTTGGAGGCCTCTTGGGCCGTCTTGGGGCCCTCTTGGGCCCGTCTTTGGGGCCTCTTGGGCCGTCCCGGGGCCGTCTTGGAGTCCGTAAGGGCCATCTTGAGACGATCTTGGGGTTGTCTAGTGCCGTCGGAAAGCCGAACACAAGGAAAGACATAACAACCTTCCGTAGCCATTTTGGCCCAAGCAATTTTGGCTCAAGCACCCGAGCTACGCATTTTACCTCCTTCCTCTGTCAGCCGAACACAAATGTAAAGAGATCACGGCGATCATGCCTGCCGCTTGCCCGATGCTCGTCGGGGCAGTGGGTCTGGCAGCCGTGGCTTCTGGTCAAGGCTGGGAAGCCACTGCTTACAGCCTTTGGTTGCTTGCGCATTTTCTTGGTTGGGCGAAGCCGCCTGCAGATGTGGGATTGCGGTGTGAGGTCCCCATCTTGACGTCACCTGCGAATGGAAGCATCCTGGAGGTGCAGGGCTGGCCAGGTCCGAGCGAGTTCAAGGAGCGCTATTTGTGGAGCGGGCCCGTGGTCTTCCGCTGCGCGGCGACCGCCCAGAATGGCTGGAGCCTCGAGTGTCTGAGCCCGGCATGTTCTGAACCTGGGCACGTGCGTCAGGAAGGTCTAGGGCTTGGAACCCGTGTCAATGCGTTCATGGCCGCGCTCGACGAGAGCAGGCTGCAGACCATGACATTTGCTGAGTACCAGCGCCTGGTAGACGATGCAGCTACCAACGGCGCGTCGCCCACTCCATACGCCTGCTCGATGGCTGTGCTGGCCGACCTCAGGAATTGCCAGGACGCGGTGCCCGTGGAGAAGTTGGTAAGCGAGTGCCACAGCCGCACAGACGTTCTGCCGCAGGCGCAGCTCTTCTATGGGCCAGGCGGCACCACGTCCTTGGGGCGTCAGTTGGCTATGTTACTGGCGGCAAACAACGGATGGAGATTGTGGACAGCGGACGTGGCACGGGCATTCTTACAAGGGCGACCGCCAGAATGAGTATTCAAGGCCAAATTACCACGAGACGCAGCAGACTTCATGGGCATCGAACCGGACGCGCTCATGAAGTTGATCTAGCCTATGCGCTGACAAGTGGACGCGCCACGACGGTGGTGGCATCGAGCAGTTGACGACCTCAAGGCCGGCGGACTCAAGCAACGCCCCCTAGGCCCATGTCTTTTCGGTAGCTGCGACAAGGGCGGCAACTGCGTAGACGATGTGCTCGGATGGGGGAGGTCGCAGGCCTGGCAACTTCTACAGCAACATCATCGAGGCAGTCAAGAGTAAGTTCCAGTTTTGGAATTGGTTAGAGGATGACAAAATGGGGCATTGCGGATCGGATCTACACCAGGCCATTCCGCGGGGCAACAAGCACTCCAACGGCGCGGAGATCAACGTCAAGATGCAGTCCTACGCCTCCAATCTCAAACCGATCACTATTTATCAGAAAGACGGCAACAACGACCGACTACTGACGCCTAAGGAGATGCGCCAGCCTTGTGGACTACTTGGAGCTCTACAGTGGACAAGTTCGCAAGCGTGCCCACGCGCGTCAGCGTCGGTCAGCATTCGCCAAAGGCAGCTTCCACCGGCGACACTGGCGACAGCAAGAGAGGTAAATGGGATGCTAAGGTTCTACAAGCAGGACGCGGGCGTCGGCCTCAAAATGAAAAAGACCGGCAAGGTTAGCGACATCGTGCTCGTAGCGATGACGGACGCAGCTTGGGGAGTACGACGAGACGGATCTAGTCATGGAGGGTATATGATCATGGCACGTCACTCGAAAAACTTGACGGCGAGGACTCATAGTTCTGCGTCGTGGATAGGAAGTTTTTTTGTTCAAGTTGACGAGGCTAGCCAGGTCATCGCTACATGCAGGATCCCAAGCAAAGGAATCAGGCGTGGACGCAGCATTCGCGAAGCGATTCTGGGTATCCCTCATCTACGACGTGTGCGTCAACGTTGACGAGAGCTCGCGCTACGCAGGAGAGTCAGCGCTCGCGATCGCCGCGAAGGTGCTCTACGACGCAGCCAAAAAGGAGAGCACCACCAGCTCCCAGGGCAAGCGCAACGGCATCGAGATATTGGCGCTGCGAGAACGGATGGAGGCTACACAGACGCAGTGGAAGTGGGTCTCGTCAGAACGGCAGTACGCAGATGGTCTCGCGAAGTCAGCGGCGAGGCAGCTCTTCGCGGACAGACTCCGAGCGGGGCGACTTCGGCTACAGCACGACCCCACCTATGCGGCAGCCAAGAAGATGACTAAGGAGGGGCGACAGGAGGTCATCAGGAACGAACAGTATGGAGACATCGTCGGCTACTAAGGCGAGATCACCAGTCATGCAGTTGGCAGCTTTTGCGACGTGTTCTTGCAAGTCAGTGGCAACCTATACTCAAGATTTCGACTACAACACATAATGCAAGTACTGCGATAACGAGATCGCCACGCGTGCGTGGTTGTCTGGGGGCATTCTGGATGCATTAATTATTGCGATGCTCGGAATCGCAGTGGCAGTTCCAGCAGTCTACTATGTATTGCAAGAGTTTATGGGGCATCAAGACGACTCCAGTATGGAGTGCCAGACCGAGACCAGCAACAAGCGCGAGACGAACGAGGAGACAGCGACGACCAGCATCGACAAGGAGACGACCGTCCACCCCAAGAAGACGAGCAGCAACCACAAGCAGGTGCGACGGCGGACGGTCGGCGTATCTAGAGCATGGTTACCTGCCGCTTGCAATGAGATCAGTGGCGGTTTTGTCACAGGACGAAAAGGCCCAAGCGTGCAGGCGAAGTTCCAGTGGAGACGACCACCCAACCATTGACAGGACAACTGCAATCAGGCAGCAGACGACAGCCCCAGGGGCTGCAGTGAGTGAGCCAGCCCACCGCGGCAACTTTACATTTTTCGTGTTTGTTACGTTCAGCTGCATTGCCAGTTACGCAGTCCATGTTTACGCAGTTGTGCATTTCATATTCAGCTTGCAGAGGCAGGTTCTGTGTTTCGGATTTATGCCGTTTGTTTATGCAGCTTTTGCAGTTTGTGCAGAAGAGGATTTTCGGTGGAGTTTGAGATCTTACACTTCATATCGAAGGGATGGCTTCTCCCGGGTTTAACTTTTATTCTTTCACGGGTGTGATATCTACGCTGCGCATCGTGTATTAGTGTGCAGGGCGTGACTGTGGCATAGTGAGCGTGCCATAGCACTTTTGACCAAACCTTGCCAGGGCCCCTGAGTCATTCAGCAGCGGTGTGAACGAGATCCCGGATCTTTTTCTTATTTACCATGTTTGTTGCTATCAAAAGGTTTCGGGGGCTCTGATGAGTTCATACTTCGGGCTCTCCTGGAGGAACTCTTGGAGGCCTTTTGGGTCGTCTTGAAGGCCTTTGGGGGGCCTCTTGGGCCGTCTCGTGCCGTCTTGGACTCTCTTGGGTCGTCTGGGAGGCCGTCTCGGACCATCTTGGGCCACCTTGGAGGTCATGGTGGACCATCTTGGAGGTCATCTTGGGCCAACGTGGCCATTTTGGCGCCATGTTGAGTCGTTTTGGAAAACATCGTGCAATTGAGGTCCGTCCTGGGGCCCCGGCGGGGCGGGCCGAAACCCCGGTGGGGTTCTCTTGGAAAAAGAACCAAAACCAAAACCGAGAGGGTCTAGCACGCCAGGCACCCCTGCGATGAATCGACAGGGGGCGGCGGATCATAATGGCTTTCGGCCCATCCCGCCACCGTGCCTGGGTTTTGGGTCTGGGGACTCTTGTATATGTGTTGGGGTGTCGTGGGGGGCCTTTCGGGGGCCTCTTGGGCGCGTTTTGGGCGCCTCTCGGGGGCCTCTTGGGGCCTCGTGGGGTATATTTTCGGCCTCTTGGAGGCCTCCTGGGCGTGTCTTGGGTGCCTCTTGGGGCCTCTTGGGGCCTCTTGGTGGCCTTTTGGGGCCTTTTGGGGGCTTCTCGGGGCACGTGTAGAATTTTCGGTTCGCGGGGCCTCCCTCTTGCATGTTGCCCCGTGAATGCAGTCTCTTGCGCCGCCAGGCATTGACCTGCGCTCAGTGTCTGCCTGCTGGCGCGCTTGCATACGCGATGCAGCATTCGCGATGCAGCATTCCACGTTGTTCCTTGGCCGTCGTATCATGTGGAGTTTCTGCCGATGCGCCGTCTAGGCGCGGCTTCTTGCGTGCGTGCGTTGCGAGTGTGGGCGGCGAAATGCGGCAACATGTTTATGTGGGGTCTGGCTGCCATGTATGCCTGGATATGGATGGCTCCGCGCAGTGCGTCCGTGCCTGTTGGCCCGCCCGCGAGACAGGAAAAGCAAAGGAATAATGTTCGATTCGTGGCCCCCTGCTTGTGCCCCTCTTGTGGCACAAGCTCGGGGCCCTCTAAGCCCATATTGGAGGCCTCATGGGCGATCTTGGAGCCCTTTGGTCCATCATGGGGCCCTCTTGGAGGCCTCTTTGGCTGCCTTGGAGCTTCTCCAACCGTCTTGGAGTGTCGGAAAGCCGAACATGCGAGAAGGCCAACAGCCTTCAACCGCCTACGTGAAATCGACGATTTTGGCCTCTCGGGGCTCTCTCGGGAGGCCTCTTTGAGCGCTCGTAGGGCCTCTTGGAGCCCTGCCCTGTTGGGCCATCTTGGAATCATCTTCGGGCGCCTTGGAGCATTCTTGGCCTCGGCAATGCGAATCTGGCGTCACTTGCCAGGGTTAATGAGCTCGAGGACGCGAATCTCGTGTACTTCGCGAGAGATTATTGCCTCGGTGGCGCGGATCTTATGTATTTTTACGTGTCCCACGCCCATCGGGACAGCCAGACAATGCGATCTAGGCGTGGTAGCCGGGTTGGCTTGGGGCCCCCCCCGTTGCACGGACTTCAGCACTTTACAAAAAGGAGGCAGCAACCAGGACCTGTAACAGTGGATATTTGAAACTGCAATTGGCCCAGGGGGCAGCACACTTCGGCCTACAGCCTGGTGGCCTCACAGGTGGACTGGCGGAACATTTCGCCTCTTCTCTTCTCTTCTCTTCTCTTCTCTTCTTTTCTCTTCTCTTCTCTTCTCTTCTCTTCTCTTCTCTTCTCTTCTCTTCTCTTCTCTTCTCTTCTCTTCTCTTCTCTTCTCCTTTCTTCTCTCCTCTTCCCTCCTTTTCCCGTCTCTTCTCTCTTCTCATCTTTTCACCTCTCCCTTCCCCTCCTCTCCTCTCCTCTCCTCTCCTCTCCTCTCTCCTCTCTCCTCTCTCCTCTCTCCTCTCTCCTCTCTCCTCTCTCCTCTCCCCTCTCCCCTCTGCCCTCTCCCTCCCCTCTCCCCTCTCCCTCTCCCCTCTCTCCTATCCTCTCCTCTCCTCTCTCCTCTCCTCTCCTCTCTCCCTCTCCTCTCCTCTCCTCTCCTCTCCTCCTCTCCTCCTCCTCTCCTCTCCCTCTCCTCCTCCTCTCCTCTCCTCTCCTCTCCTCTCCCTCCTCTCCTCTCCTCTCCTCCTCCTCTTCTCTCCTCTCTCCTCTCCTCTTCCTCTCCTCTCTCCTCTCTCTCCTCTCTTCTCCTCTCTCTCCTCTCCTCTCCTCTCCCTCTCCTCCTCTCCCCTCCTCTCCTCCTCCCCCTCTCCCCTCTCCCCTCTCCCCTCTCCCCTCCTCCCCTCTTCCCTCTCTCCTCTCCTCTCCTCTCCTCTCCTCTTCTCTCCTTTCCTCTCCTCTATTATCTTCTCCTCTCTTCTCTTTCCTGATCGTTCAGCAATGCCAATGCCATACCCCGCTTCGATTCTAGGCCCGCATCTGCGAGTAGATACGGATATGAACAGCAGGCAAGGAGGGGCAGAGGGAATGATATGTGTACGACAGCACCTGTTTTGTCCTCTCCTCTCCCCTTTCTCTTTTCTCCCACTCCCCTCTCTCTGGAATCTCCGTGCGGATCTGACGTTGTCTCCCTCGAAGCTCCTTGGTTGGGGTCCTTGCAGCCCCCTGCAGGCTCCTGGACATC